TAGTGGAATGCGCACTGGGGTGGAAGGTGGTGGTGCGTCGTCGTCGGAAGTGATGTCAATGAGGAGAGTAGTGGATGGGTGGGTGTGCCGAGTTGAGTCTGTCCTTCTGGTGCGTGGTGGTGGCGCTGAGCTGGGTCGGTCATTCTGCAGGTCGGGTGGGTGGAAGTCGATGGGCGTAGGCTGCTCGGGGGGGATTGGCGTATGCAAGGCGGGGGTAGGTAATGGCGTAGGGGCAGGGAAGGGATATGCGTCGCTCGCAACAGGGGTTGGGCTGCAAAGGTCGTCGTCGTCGGCTGGGATTGGAGTGTGCACGCTGGCGTCGTCGGCGTCGTGGCATGGGCGTCGCGCAGTAGGAGTGGCGGTTGGCGTCGCAGGTGTCGGTCGTGGTGGTGGTGTGCTGCTGCGCTGTCCGCTGCTGCTGGGCTGTCCACCGCTGCTGCTGCCGCCGTTTCTGAGGTAGAGTTGATAGCCCGAGGCCTCGGAGGTAGAAGGTGGGGTCAGCAGGTCGAGTGCCGCTTGAATCTGTTGGTCGACTTGTGCTTGTTCAGCGTCTGCTTGGGCTTGCAGTCGTGCGTCTTCCTCGTCTCGTTCTTGGAGTTGTGTGTCGAGCTCCCTGAGGATGTCCACGTCGATGCTGGTGCCGAACTCGTGGGCTTGCTGTAGTTCGCAGTGCAGTCGCTCGCGCTCCTGTCTGTGTTGCTGAAGGTGCTCCTGTAGTTGGAGTTGGTGCTGCTCCTGGAGTTCGTTCTCGAAGCGCTGCATGTCACGGGAGGTGCCTCGAAGCCTGTCGATCTCGCTGTTGTACTCGCTCTGGGCCGTCAAAGTGCGGTACTTCTGAGCCTGGACCTGTCCGAACTCCTCCAAGAGTAGCTCCTTGGCATCCTGAAGCTGGTTCTGTTCAAGCCTCGCGATGTTGCTGATGTCCTGCTGAGCCTGAGCTTTCTCGGAGAGAAGACGTTGCTGTTGTTCGTGGCAGCGTTGTTGATATTGTTGGACCATGATCTCGGCGTTCTCGTGTAGCTGGTGTCGGAAAGTCTCTTCCTCCTGCTTCCTCTGGGTGATGAAAGTGGCGAGGTGCGCTGACTCTTCCTCCTTGAGCTGGTCGCGCAGGTAGGCCTCCTTCTGCTGGTAGTGAGCCAGGTTCTCCGTGAGGGATTCGCGAGCCTCGTGTCGGAGCCGCTCCTCGCGCCGTCGGAAGACTTGGATCTCGTCGTAGTACGACTGTCTCTGCTGGAGTTGTGCTTGCTGAAACTGTTCCTGGCAGTGTTGTAGATGTTGCGAAAGCTCCTGAATCTGCTCGGTCTGCAGTTGACGCTGTGCTTCGTGTTGATCAGATTCGGCACGTTCATGATGGAGAAACGCCAGATGGTGTTGGTGTATCCCGTGGTTGCGCTGCTGCTCATCCACTCTCCTCGTCAGCACGTCAATGAGTTTCCGCAGGTCGCTGTCGTCGTTGGTAGTCGAAGCAGGCGCTGGCTCGGACGCAGGTTGACGAACTAGTGGTCGCTGTCGTCCCTCAGGGTGTGGTGTTTTGCCCCTGACACGGTGGCGCACGTCATCTTCACCGTCCCCGTCACAACTGTCTTCCGAAAGGTCAGCATGTTCTCGATGCTGTTTGGCCTCGGAGATGAGTGCCTTGAGGGATGCGATCTCGCGCTTGATCTCGTCGTGCTCCTTATTGAGGTCGTGAAGCTGGCTCTCGACGATCTGCTGTCTCTGGATCCGTGACTCCACTTGAGATCTATATTGAGCGATGCGAGCCGTCGGCGTGTCCAATAGATGTAGCATGGTCTTGACTATGGCCAGCTCCTCGATCAGGCGGGTTGGGTCAACTTGAGCTTGCCTGGCTCCGAGGACTTGGTCGGCAAGACGTGCCATCCTCGCCACCTTGGTCGCGTGCCAGACCCGACGTATGTCTGGCTCGTCGGGAGGAAGAGAAAAACTTTCATGTCCCTTGGCATCCGAAAGCAAAGCGGGCATTACCTTGTCAGTGACCTCCAACTGTCGTTTCGTCAGCTTTTGCAGATGTCGGTGGTCGTTGGTGGTGTCCTCGGGGGCCAGGCGGCGTCTTCTCGAGGGAGGCCGCTTCGTTCTCGGTGTGGTGTAGTCGTACTGATACTGCTGCTGGTGCTGGGCGTAGTTGTGCTGCTGTCGGTCCTCGTCGTGGTGGGAGGTGTGGTGGTGCTGGTTGTGCTGGGGCTGGTACCGTGGCTGCTGCTGTCCTTGCCCTCCGTGGTGTCGGCGGTGAGAAGAGCCAGATGCTGGTGTGCTTGACCTCCATGGCCACGGCTTGGCACCCACTGGATGACCGTGAGACTTTGCGTTGGCTGCCATAGCGCTGGTCTCGAAGTCCTGCAGCTCGTTCTGCTGGGGGCGCTGGTGCTGCTGCGCGGAGTGGTGGCCGCTGAGGAGGTCGGCCGCCTTCACGACTCGAAGAAGAGCCCGTGCCGAGGCTCGGCGTTCTCTCTGCCGCCTGTGCCAGGCGGGCTCCTGGGGCGTCGGGCCTCTCCAGGGCGCGCCGAAGGCGCGCGGCAGCCGCCAGAGGCCAGGGCGCGGCAGCGGCGGCGGCGAATCGCCGATCCGCGGCGCGCTGAGCCCGGCCTCGCGATCGGCCTGCGAGGCGGGATCGATCGGGCGGCAGGCGCCGATCGAACCTGACCGATCGATCGGGTCGCAGGCCCAGATCGCCAGAGGCCAAATGGGCTTCTTTCTGCTCCTCCTCCTCCTCCTCCCTCCTCCTCCTCCTCCTCCTCCTCCTCCTCCTCCTCCTCCTCCTCCTCCTCCAGTTCTGGCCCGCAACGCTCGTGAGCGCGACACGCTGCCCGCCCTCCGTGTCCTGCAGCGTCGGCGCCCCGAGCGTTTCCGGCTCGCCCGCCCCGCGGAGCGGAGCGGCGCGCGCTCTTTCTCGCAAGGCATGCGTGCCGCCGGGCTGCCGGGGCGACACGCTGAGCAGAAGGTTCCCCGCCGCAGATCGGGTGTGGCCTCTGCCCTGCGGATCCGTTGTTTTTTCATATCTTGGCCGTGGCTTTGGGGACGCATTACGACGGATCGTGGCCTCGGGAGCACAGGCCTATTGTTGTTACAAGAGGTCTTTCCAGGGTGGACAGACCTCCTACCCTGACGCGTCGATTTAGGAATTAGCCGTTTTCGGTTCGCGAGAGGGCGTCGCGGCCGGCATTTTTGCGGGTCCAGGTCCGTCGGTTTCGGTCCCAGGCCGCTTTCACTAAGGGGAGGTTTACTAAAGGGAGGTTTTTCCACCGCCGATGTTGTTACAAGAGATCTTGGCCTCATCAGCGCAGGTCCATTGGTTTCAAGGGGCATGGTGTCGTTGGGAGGGCCCATGGCCTTTCATTGGATCGTTGCCCTGGGAACGCAAATTCACACATCTTTGCGAGGGTGTGCATCTGGGGCACGGGCCCCAAATTGTTCCACTGCGGTTGGCAACGCATAGTTGCCAAGATGCTGAGCTCCTGAGCAGACTGCGCTAGAAGGGATGTTGCAAGCTGTCTCGTTCCGACTCAGGAAGTTGAGCCTGCCGGATCCCAAGGCCTGACGGATTTGATATTTCGAGAGCTTTGTTGATTGACGTGTTCGAATGCGGTTGCTCAATTGTTTCGATCCGTTTCCGGCCTTCTGGAGTCCTCCCAGGGCTTCTGCCTTTTGGTGACCGCTGGAACCTCTGGAAGCCTTCGGGAGCCTCCCCGCGCCGTGAAGGAACTGCGTCCCGAGAGGAGAGTCCGCCACACAAAAAAAACAGACATGAGGAAGCCGCAATCAGTGGATGCTTTGAAAACTGGTGATCGATAGTGGGCTCGATCGTGGCATCCCGAGATCGGCCCAGAGCCTGCAACTGGGAATCCGGGATCCTGGAACCGGAAACCTGAGACTCCAGCCGGCTACCGAAATCGGCCCCGGGCTTTCGCCAAATCTCTCAATATCCGCTAGGAGCCCTTCAGTGCGAGCACTGATTGGGGACCAGGCATCCTCCAATCTATTGTTCCTTGGCCGCAGGCGAGGGTGGCGGTGTATAAATTGCCACCGAGAGCCAGCGACTTTCTATACCGCCACCCCCTCCCTGAAGGTACATGCAGAGTTCGTCGGAGGGCGTCCGTGTACAGTCGACCCAGATTAAGGTCGACCTTGCCAAATCAAGGGAACCTTCGTGTCCTGTGTCTCGCGTCCCACGCCTCCTTATCCTGCTATGGCAATGTGGCCCTCGGAACCTCGGAAGGGTCTTGTGTCCTCCCGCGTGTCCTTCCCAATCAGGTCCGACTGCATATCGCATTTTCGTGGCGCGAGGGGGTGCCGAGGCCCCCCGGCCGTTCTCTTCCCCAGGAGACTCTCCGCGGGCTGGTATGTATACACATATATATATATATGTATACACACAGATGTATGTGTGTATATATATATATATATATATATATATATATATGTGTGGGAGGTCTGGTGTGATACACCCGCAGGAATGACCCCCTATCCCTCGTGTGCTGGGCCTCTCTTATCTGAGGCCCGCTCCCAAAAAGGTTCTACGGGGTCCACTATGGCCAGGCCTCCGTGCCAGAGATTGCCGCTCCCCTCGGCGGCGAAGCCCGAGCCCTGCCCTCGCCGATCGACGCCTCGGGCAACTCGCTGGGCGGCGGGTGCAGGGCTCGGAGTTCCTCGACGACGCGGTGGGGTCCGATCCTGCCCCCGCCTCCCATGGATTCAGGAGAATGGATGTCCAGGAGAATCGATGGCTGGTGGGGGTAGGGCTCGGCCGTCGCCACAGATCCAGCCCCGTGGTGTGGACGCTACTGGTAAGGCGAACATGTCCCTCCACAGGGAGAATCTTCCGTCTGGGGGCGATGTTTGCTGGTATGTTTTGTTGTTAGTTCGAGCACCTGTTTGACTATGCTTTTTTGTCCTCCAGAGCCCGCCTACAGGAGGACATGCCCGAACTAACGCTACTGGCCACGCAGTGGCTTTTCCTCCCGTGGGATTGCTGGACACCCCCGGAGGCCATCGTCGCGGTGTTCGACGAGTGGCACAAGGCCGCTCAGGGTTCCTCTGTGAGGAGGAGCACAAGCAGGGGGGCTCCTATTGGGAGGACGGGTGGAAGGATGAGCAGGATGAGCAGCAGGAGGCGCAGCACGAGAGGGATCAGGAAGAGGGGGTGAGGAGGAGGAGGAGGAGGAGGAGGAGGAGGAGGAGGAGGAGGAGGAGGAGGAGGAGGGGGAGAAGAAACGACCAGGACCGGGTCATCCGTTCATGACTTGTTCTTGCCTCGGAAACCGAGCTCAGAGCTCTTTGCCCTACTTCTGCGATGGTGGGAGCCGTCTTCGTGGGTCGGAGGCCATCAGGGAGCTCTCTGGGACGACAGCAATCAGGAAATTACGGCAGCAGCCAGAAATAGAAGCGAGTGGGCTTCCGAGCGGGCATAGTGCCGTCATCTCGAGGGGACCTCACCGCTCTGCGGCCGAAGGGCGCCGTGCGGCTCGGACGGGCAAGAAGACGATGGGCGCCCCGCGGGTGCATGCGGGCTCTCCCCCGGGGGGGGGGGGCCCGGGCAGGGGCCCAGTCGGGCAGGGATGGCGAGACTCGCCGCTACCCCCCCCCAGAGGAGGAGGAGGAGGAGGAGGAGGAGGAGGAGGAGGAGGAGGAGAAGGGAGGAGGGAGGGAGGAGGAGGAGGAGGAGGGAGGAGGAGGAGGAGGAGGAGAGGAGGAGGGAGAGGAGGAGGAGGAGGAGGAGGAGGAGGAGGAGGAGGAGGCGCTCCAGAGCGTGCCTTGCGACGCTCTCGGGGCGTTCTGCGGAGAGCGTTCTGCGGAGCGGCCGCGCGGCGCCCCCCCCCAATGCGTCCATAATTATCCTCCGGGCCTGGCGGCTCTCCTCGGAGCTCTCTGCGGCGGGGCCCTCAGCCGAGATGCTGTCCGTTGAAGTCGGGCGTGTCCCTCTGCAGGAGGACGGTGCAGGGGACTGTTTTTTTTGTTTTTTTTATTTCGTGGGGTGTCTCGTGGAATGTTTCGCGGGGTGTCTCGTGGAATGTTTCGTGAGGTGTCTCGTGGGATGTTTCGTGAGGTGTCTCGTGGGATGTCTCGTGAAGTGTCTCGTGGGATGTTTCGTGAGGTGTTGCCCAGTTGGGTATCGTGAAAACGTGTCCATGCTCCACATGTCTATATCCCTTTCCGGGTTCGTGGGTCCATCATGTTTTATGGGGCGAGAGCCCGGGTTCTCGGGCTCGCCCCCCCCTCTCCCCCCCCCCGGGGCCACCTAATTAGCCTTGCCGGTTGTGCAGGTCCGCGGGAGGGGGGGCGCGGGCACATGCGGGGCTGTCCACAGCGCGAGGGTTAGGTTATCGGCCGACCCCCTCCTCCCCCCCCTAGATAACACGGGTTATCGCCGAGTCAAAGAAAACGGTCTCCAAGAATGGGAGAAATGGTGGGGGGCGACTGGTCGTGTCCCTTTGAGTCTATGTCTGAATGTGTTTTGGCTTTTTCATTGAACAAGTCTTCCAAAGTCCGCCTGTAGGAGGACATGCCCGACCTACCGCTATCCCCACGTCGCCTTCATCTTATGGCGGGGCCGAGCGTTCCAGGGTTCGCGCCTGCAGCCTCGGAGATTGGAGCTCTGGGAGCACCGGCTTCACCGGCTTCACCGGCTTCACGATAGGGGGGGATAGGCACAGGGGGTGATGCATCAATCGACCCCCTAATCGCCCATTGATCGCCGATAGGGGCCCGATAGCCCCAACCTGCCCGGGCAGGTGCGGATGCACTGTCGAGGGCCCATCGCCGATCTATCGGCGATGTATCGCCGATTCCAGGCCGATGCGTCCCCCCCTATGCCAGTTACCCCCTACCGTTGCCCCCCAGAGGACGGCCCAGCTAGATGGCGCGTCCCCGAGAGGGCCTCGTGTTCGGCGGACCCCCTCGCCCTTGCCGGGAGGGCCCGCGGAGGCTGGCGGGGGCAGAGCGGCAGCGGGCCGCCGGCGGAGGCCGGCGGATGGTCGGCGGCATGCGGCGGAGGTAATGGCCCGGGAGCCTTGAGACGGAGGTCAATGCAAACGGGGGTCATCCAGAGCGCCCGATCTTGCAGGATCCTGCAGGGCCAGGGTCGCATTGACCCGGGTTTGGGCGCAGGATCCGGCAGGATCCTGCAGGATCCTTCGCACCGACCCGGGCTTGGGCGCAGGATCCTGCAGGGTCTTGCAGGATTCTGCAAAGCCTGACTGACCCGGGTCTGGATTGACCCGGGTCAGAAGGTCCCCGAAGAGTGAGGCGTCACTGGTTGGGGTCCAGAATTGCCAGAATTGGTCACAGGGCTGCGGATGGTTGGTCCCTGGTGGCGTCGGGGGATGCTGCTGCGGTGGCCGTTGCGACGCCTCCTGCAACAGCGTCTGCTCCTCGATCCCACGCCGGGGCTCCGCCTGTGATTTATACGATCGAAATGGCCAAGGGAAAAATGTGGCCAAAGACCAACAACAGTCCTTGTATATTGAACAGGACTCGCTGTCGGTGTCGCCGCGGACGTTGTCCCTTCGAGTCAACAAGTCGCCGGCCCAACAGCGCCCGCTGTCGGTTTGAGTGAATGTTTGCTGATGGGCATCGAAGACTTTCTCCTTACATGCATCTGGATTGCCACAGGGTCCTCCCAGGACGGACCCGAGTGGAAAAATATTGTCAGCCGCTGTGTTATGCGCGCCATGTGAGGTCTACGGTCTGAAACTCGCGCGTGTCTCACTGAGTCGTGTGGTCGCTCGGATGTTCCCCATAGTTCCCATCCAAAACAACAGTTAGAGGCTTCGATATCGGCACCAAGACCGAAAAATGTGGGGGTTCCACCGTGGCACATCATCCTAGATCATTGTGTTGGTGTTCGTATTTCGGTCACCAATGATGCCAGAATGTTAGCACCTTCTCCGAAATTGGATTAATTGTTCCTCGGTGGACGTACTCGCCGATCTTGGTTTTGATCCCCACCACTGAGCATCCCAAACATGATTGACCCACGAACCTTGAAAAAAAGGGTTTAGTATTCCGAGGCATGGCTGCGTTTCCAAGACGCTCGATTGGGCGACAGGCAGTTGCAATGCTGAAGGTATCGATTGCGGTGCATCGTGCCAGGATTCTGCTGTGCTGTGCCGTGGTGACATGAGATGCCGCATTTTGCGATGAACCGGTGTGCTCTACTGTGTTGTGGACGTTCGGAGTCCACGTGGTTTCACGTTTGTCGCGCTCTGGGGCGTTAGACACCCATGCATTCTCACGCTTAGCACGCTTTGGAGCGTTAGTCCCCCACGTGTTTTCACGCTCGTCCTGCTCTGAGGCGTTAGGATCCAACTAATTATTCTCGCGCTTGTCCCGCTCTGGGGCGATGCGAAACCACGTGCTTTCACGTTTGCCCCGCTTTGGGGCGGCGTCGGGACCGACGTGGTTTCACGTTTGCCCCGATTCGGGGCGTCAGGAACCCACGTGTGCTCACGCTTGCCCGCTCTGCGGCGTCATGATGCTACATGTTTTCGTGCTTGTCGCGCCTTGGGGGCGTCACGCACCCACGTGGTTTCACACTGGTCCCGCTCTGGGGCATTAGGGAACCGCGTGCTTCCACGTCTGTCGCGCTCTGGAGCGTTAGGAACCAGGGTGTCTTCACATTGTTCCCGCTCAGGGGCGTGAGGAACAGTGTGCTTTCACGCTTGTCCCGCTTCGGGGCGTCAGGGCCCCACGTGTCTTCACGCCTGTCCCGCGCTGGGGCGTTAGGGGCCCAGGTGTTTTCGCGCGTGTCCCACCCCGGGGCGTTAGGGACCATGCGTGTTTTCATGCCTGTCCCGAGTTGGGGCCTTGGGAACCCACGTGTTTCTATGCTCGTCCCACTCAGGGGCGTTAGGAACCCAACGTGTTTTCACGCTTGCCCCCCTCTGGGGCGACTGGACCCCACGTGCTTTCTCGCCTGTCACGCTCTGAGGCGTTACGCACCCACGTGGTGTCACGCTGGTCCCGCTCTGGGACACTAGAAACCAACATGTGTTCACGCTTGTCGCACTCTGGAACGTTAGGAACCCATGTTCTTTTCACGCTTGTCCTGTTCTGGGGCGTTAGGAACCATGTGTTTTCACGCTTGTCCCACTCCGGGGCGCTAGGAACCCCGCGTGGTTTCACACTTTTCCTGCTCTGAGGCCTTAGGAATCCGTGTGTTTTCACGCGTGTCCCGCTCGGGGGCGTTAAGAACCCAACGTGTTTTCATGCTTGTGCCGCGCTGCGGCGTTAGGAACGATGTGTTTTCATGGTTGTCCCACTCTGGGGCTTTAGTAACCCTATGTGTTTTCACGCTTGCCCCACTCTGGGGCTTTGGGAACCGATGTGTTTTCATGTTTGTCCCGCTTTGAGGCGCTTGCCCTGGCAATCTATAGGAACATGCTTACAACTCTAAAGTCGAACCCCAGGGGAGGAGCAATCTATTGGACAAAACAGGCGTTTCGCCCGAGACGTCCTCAACACATTCTGAATCACCAGCGTTTCGTTCGAGACATCCGCAACAAACGAAAATGATCACTTTACCACGTTTTTTATCTTTTCGGAATTTCAAAAACCAGCGTTTCGCTCGGGACATCCTCAACAGCTTGTCAGCCGGCCCTGCGCGACCTCGTCATTGATCGCACATTGATCCGCTGGCCCTGCGAGAACGTGGCACCGGGGACAGCTGACCATCCTTAGAAGAAAACCCTGCGCCCATGCCCCTTCCGGGAAAAAGTGCAGGTCGGTCGTCGCTTGGGGGGCCCCGGCTGTGTGTCGACCACACCGCGTGATGAGTCGGGTGGGGATCCGGGGTCACCGCAGTGCTTTGGGGGATTCGGCTCGTTCTCCGAGGGCGTCTCTGGCGACTGGGCCCCCAGGGCCCCCAGGACCCCCAGCCCGCGCGGTGACGGACCGTGCGGAGAGGTCTCTTGAGATTTCGAGGTAACCACTCGGTCCGTCACCACATGAGGCGTTCCAGAAAGGGCCCTGCCTTCGAGGATAGAGAAGTGGATGCCACCTCTGCCGCGGCGGAAGTCGGCGGAAGCGCGGCGGCAGGTGGGCGGAAGTACAACGAGGCAGCCTCCGCCGGCAGAAGCCGGCGGAAGGCCGGCGGAAGGCGACGGAAGTAGAAGGTGCGCCCCCAAGAGATGAACACGTTTTTGGGGCTCAGGGTTTCTGGGATCCGCCACGTGGGCTTGGGGCCCCGCACTCGATCCCCCCCCTCGCGCCTCGGCAGGTCTTCGACGCCTCCCCCGACGCTGGCGTGCAGGGGCAGGGCGGCCAGGCCGGCTGCATGCAGCAGGTGCTGCAGAGGACGCGTCGCGGGCGGTGCCACCGCCGCCGCCGCCGCCGTCGTCGTCGATGTCGTCGTCGTCGTCGTCGTCGTCGTCGTCGTCGTCGTCGTCGTCGTCGCCGGCGCCGGCGCCGTCGCCGTCGCCGTCGCCGTCGCCGTCGCCGTCGTCGTCGTCGTCGTCGTCGTCGTCGTCGTCGCGATGACGCATCGACCGATCGAGCTTCGAGGATACTGGTTCTTTGGACTTCGTGGTGGTGTTGCAAGTCGGCCTCCCAGGGCGCGGTGGGCCCCGGAGCTTCTCCAGGGAGCGGGCGCTGCCCGGCGGTGCCGCCGCGGGGGCCTCGAGAGGCAGAGGCCCGCACCTGCGCACGGTAGGTCCAAGTCGGGCCAGTCCCTCGACAGGAGGGATGTCCAGAAATAGTCAACAAATAGTCTGGAGACGATGTCTTGAGTATTTTTGGGGCATCTTAGGGGAGCACCTCTTGAGTATTTCTGATGTTTCGCCCAAGATGCCCCTCGAGGGGGACGGGCCCGACTTGACGGCAGGTCCGTGCCGTCTCGGCGCAGTGGCTCAGCGCGGGCGCTGGCGTTCCAGACTGGCGGGCCATCCCGCGCAGCCCCGGGCGGCGCCGAACCGCCCGAGGTCGGCTGGCCCGGGCCCACGCCTGCGCCCTCGTCCGGGTCTCGCGCGCAGGGGCGCTACAGCTCAGCTGGTCGAGGGCTTCGGGGTCTTTGGCTCGCAGCGCGTTCCTTCCCGGCGCGCGCCGCGGCGCGGGCGGCACGCGGTGGAAGCCCATGCCAAGAAGCACCCTGCTCGCCTGCAGGGTACCCTGGGTGTCTTGGGTGTCGATGGCTCTGCTATGGGAAGCGCGACTTCCCCACACCAAAAGTCAATGGACGCCCCTTAGGACCCAGGGTTGGGTTTTTTGTGGAAGGTTTGTTGCGGTCGAGCTCCTACTGTAGTTCAGCTGGTCGAGGGTTTTGGGATCTCTGGCTTGCAGCGTGTCTCTTCCTGGGCTTGCAGTGGCGCAGGTGGCACGTGTCACGGTGGCGCCATGCACCCTTGCCAATCCTCCGAAGAGGAGCAGGCTTGGGATGCCTATCTTCCTGGGTGGAAGGAGGATGTGTTCTCGCCGACGTTGCTCCACTCGCGCGGCATATGCGAAGGGTATTCTCAATGGCTTGGCTCCGTGCCTTCGGCGATAACACTAGCAGACCCTTTGCAGCTGCCACGAGGGCGCCGCCAACCAATTGAACGCCCCGGTTGAATTGGCGAATTGGCCAATGAATTGTTCCAGGAAGCATGGGCGGGCGAACGGTGAGTGTTCGACGGGAACCACTACATCTGCACTACCAGGCCCATCCGTTTACATTCCGTTTCCCGCGAGTGTGCCCCAGCAAAGCCAGGAGGGCCCCCAGGACTCTCCAGCACAGCTCACAATTCCATTCCTGAGGCATTGCCCTCCTCCTCCTCCCCTCTCGCCTGCCTGCCCGCCCTTCTCGTCTCTGTTGCCGACCGCACGTTGCCCTGTTACCTCCACCTCCTCCTCCTCCTCCTCCTCCTCCTCCTCCTCCTCTCCTCCGCCTCCTCCTCCTCCTCCTCCTCCTCCTCCCTCCTCCTCCCTCCTCCTCCTCCTCCTCCGGGTCTTCCTCCTCCTCCGTTGCCGCCCCGGTCCGCGCTCGCCTGGGCCGGGGGCGATTCGCCCGAAGGCTTTTCTCTTGTGGAGCGCGAGCTGCGCGTGCGCTTCTCTTCACCCGCGAATGCATCGGCCGACGATGGGCCTTCCGATCCGATCCGATCCCGTCTCGTCTCCCCCCCCATTCCCTGCTCCCTCGTCCCTCCTCCTCCATCCTCCTCGCCAGTCGCCGCCCCCCCCCCCCTCATCCTTTCTGGCCGTCTCGCATCTCCCCCTTCGCGGATCCCTCGCCCACTCCCCTCCCTCCTCCCCTTCGCCAGCCGCCCTCCCTCCTCGCCAGTCGCCGCCTCCCTCCTCGCAAGTCGCCCTCCCTCCTCCTCCTCCTCCTCCTCCTCCTCCTCCTCCTCCTCCTCCTCCTCCTCCTCCTCGCCAGTTGCCTTCCCCCTCCTCTCTCCTCTTCCCTCCTCCTCGCCAGTCGCCTTCCCTCCTCCCTCAGCCTGTGGCCCTGCGGCTCGCACGGGACATCCTCGCTCGGGCGCCGGGCGCTTCGGCGAGTCCTTCGCTTCGGGCTCCGGGACTTCGGCGACCTCTTCTGTCGATTGGTGTGGTATCGGCGAGCCAGTTCTTCATCGCCCCAAGACGACCACAGAGGCCCCCAAGAGGGTGCCCTCACGGCCCAAGAGGCCAGGCCGCCCAGACGGCCCAGGAGGCTTCCAAAACGGACCAACATGTCCAGCTTTTCGCCCAAATAGGCCCCCAGGAAGCCCCCAAAGGCCCCCATGAGGCTCCAAATAGCGGCCAAGAGGCCCCCAGGAAACCACCAAGTCACGCCCACTTGTCCTCTGAGGTCGGGTTTCGTGGCAACATCAGGTTTCAGCGGACTCTGCACCTCACCGTCTCCTTTCTTGACAGGGTCCTCTACTCAGTCAGGACATTTCTCGGATGCGTCGCCTCATGCGCGGGTTTTGCGGGAACTACGCCGTCCGAGTGTCGGCTACTTCTAGACGCTTCGCGTAGTCCCACCAGCCAATCAGACGCGATGCCCATGCGAGTTGCCCTGATCAGGGATTAGGAGGAACATGCAGTGGAATAACGAGCTGAGGGAGCCGTCATACCCAAGAAGGGGAGGATCTCTTTTTCGCCTCCTCCTCATCCTGCTCCTCTTCCTCCTCTCCCTCCTCCTCCTCCTCCTCCTCCTCCTCCTCCTCCTTCGCCTCCTCCTCCTCCTCCTCCTCCTCCTACTCCTACTCCTACTCCCCCTCCTCCTCCTCCTCCTCCTCCTCCTCCTCGCTCCTCCTCCTCCTCCTCCTCCTCCTCCTCCTCCTCCTCCTCCTCCTCCTCCTCCTCCTCCTCCTCCTCCTCCTCCTCCCTCCTCCTCTCCTCCTCTCTCTGGCCTCCTCCTCCTCCTCCTCCTCCTCCGCTCCCCCTCCTCCTCCTCCTCCCCCCTCTCCTTCCTCCTATCCTCCTCCTCTCCTCCTCCGCCCTCTACCCCCTCCTCTTCCTTCCCTCCTCCTCCTCCTCCTCTCTCCTCCTCCTCCTCCTCCTCTCTCCTCCTCCTCTCCTCCTCCCCTCCTCCCTCCTCCTCCTCCTCCTCCTCCTCCTCCTCCTCCTCCTCCTCCTCCTCCTCCTCCTCTTCCCCTCCTCAACCTCCTCCTCCTCCTCCTCCTCCTCCTCCTCCTCCTCCTCCTCCTCCTCCTCCACCTCCTCCTCCGCCTCCCCCTCTTCCTATAGAGCTTAGCCGTTCTGGCTCAGAGGGCCTCGAAGGTCCTCCTCCTCCTATTGAGGTCAGCCGTTCCTGGCCCGGCACCCAGGGCCGCTGGCCGCTGTGCGCTCGCGCCGCAGGGCCCGGCAGGGATGGCGGCGCTGTGCGGGGCTTTGGGCGCGGCTCCCGTGGCGCCGGCCGCGTGGACGGCGGCAGAGGGATGGCCACGACCCCGGGGGGCAGCGTCAGGGGGGGACAGGCTCAGACGAGGCGTTCCAGATAGGGCCTCGCCTTCGAGGATCGAGGGAGTCATCATCTCCTCCTCGGCGGAAGGCGGCGGAGGGCCTGTGGAAGCCCGGGGAAGTAAAATGAGGCCGCCTCCGCCGGCGGAAGCCGGCGGGAGGCTGGCGGAAGGCGGCGGAAGTAAAAGATGCGCCCCCAAGAGACGACAAGATTTGTTTGGTTCAGGGTCTCCGGAACACGCCAGGTGGACGAGGTTTCGAGGCTCGAGGTTCGGGGTCTTCGGGCGTTTCCGCCGGTTCTCGGCGGTCCTCCGGCCCCGGGGTGCGTTCCAGCGGCCGCGCCTCCCCGAGAGCGTTCCGACGGTGCCCAGATCGCCCCGGAGGGCCGCCAGAGGCCCGAGGTGTGGCCCCGAGCCACCAGCGACGGGGATAGGCCCGGGGAGGAACGCCTCGCCCCCCAATCTCCTCCTCCTCCTCCTCCTCCTCCTCCTCCTCCTCCCCCTCCTCCTCCTCCTCCTCCTCCTCCTCCTCCTCCTGCGTTGCCGATCGGGGCCCGGGTGCCCCACCCCGGCCCAGGGCCTGTCGCCGATATGTCGACCGGACCTCGCCGATGTCACTTCGGCGCTTCCACGCCTGAGCCGGTGCCCCTCTATCGTTGCCCTTCATCGTGGGAAGAAGCACGATGACCATGGCCAAATATGTCGCGGGGTCATGTCGACGCCGATCTTGGTCATGTTCCATGCTGGCCGTCGCCGATTCGCGAGGATGATCTACGAATCGACGGTGGCCAAAAAGGACGATGGCCATGATCAACGCCAACGTTTCCGCGTTCAGTCTTGGTCATGGTCATTGTTTTCTTCCCTCCAGGCGGCCCCTGTCTACCCGCAGGCTGCTGGGAGAATCCGAGCCCCCCACGACCGCGTTCAGACGACCAGGCCAGACGATGGCTGCGCGTCCATGCAGCTCCGTCAATACCGAGTTGGCGCTTTGTCCCATTCGGGATTTGACGGAGGCAGCCTATTAGTAACGATGTGCACACGGTGGGCTAGGACGAGGATACATCCGTTCTAGAGCGTTCGAGAACGCTCTGGGGAGGCCGCCCGGGCCCGAGACGTTCTCCAGAGCCGCGGCATCTCAGAGATTTCCGATTTGTCTTCGCACGATGTTGTACTTGTCCTGGCTCCGCCTCAGTGCACGCAAAGAGAAATAGGGAACCTGCCCCGCCCAGATTCTTGATGGGGCAGAAGCCAGTACCTTCCTCAATCGTCGGCCTGTGGGGGCGCCAGACGGGGAGACAGCAATCGGGGGCACGGAGAACGCCGATCTCTAGGTTTGGCCATGCCCCCGTTTAGGGGGCCCTGGGCCCCGTATATGGGGGCACAGTAAACGGGTGCACATGAAAAAGCCCACGCGCCCGTTCAGCTAAGCTTCCGTTTGCAAAGCCTCAAGCCTTCAGGGGGCCCATTCCAGTCCGCATTGGACTGTCAGAGACCCGCCTGGGCCGCAACACCTGACCTGGGGCAGGGGTCGAGAGCTTCCGGGGCCCACCTCGCGAAAGACGTGATGACTGCTATCCAGGAGGGCTGATCTCTCGCCCTCGTCGGAGGCTGGTGGAAGGCCCGCGGAAGCCGGGGCAAGTACTAGGGAACTGGATCGGGATCCTTGAGACGGGGGTCAGTGCGAATGGGGGTCAGCCAGAGCGCCAGATCTTGCAGGATCCTGCAGGGACAGGGTCGCATTAACCCGGGCTTGGGTGCGGGATCCTTCAGGATTTTGCAGGATCCTTCGCATTGACCCGGGTTTGGGTGCAGGATCTTGCATAATCTGCAGGATTCTTAAAGGCTTGACTGACCCGGGTCTGGATTGACACGGGTATAAGATCCCCGACTGGATACATATATATATATATATATATAGATATAGATATATGACGTGGCCAGCCTGGGCGAGAGCTGCATACACATCTGGCCAGATGTCATTCCAAAGGTCGGCCCTGGCGTGGCAAGGCACGCTGGCCCTCCACATGTGTATCCAGCAAGTGGCCTCGAGATGCTCCACACTTGAACCCGACCATGCGTGCTTCCAGCTTCCTGGTAAGCCGAGTGCTATCTTGCTTGCAGGCGGAAGCAAGCGAAAGGCTGGCGGGGTCCAGAAGCGGAGGTGCTCCCTCCAAGAAATGTCATCGCCGGCGCGCGCTGGACTTCGGGTGTTGGCCGTATGGCTGAGCAGCTCACCTGCCCATGGCGGCACACCAGGGGAGCGGGGCGAAGGCCTCTGGGAGGGCTTCTCAGCAGCCTCGAGGCTTATGATATTCCGGCGTACTTTCGCCTTGATCACCAGAATCAGATTCGAGCACCAAGAAATGACCGAAGCTTGTGGGTTTTCACGTGTCGGGCCCTGGGAGGCGAGACTCCTTCGACACCGTCTCGATGCTTCTCTGGGCGCTCGGAGTTATTTTTGGGGATGTGGTCCTCGAGTACGACGGGAGCAGCACGTCTCGAGGCCCCTCCAAGAAGCCGCCCGCCTTCTTCGAGCTGCCCCCTCCCCGCCTCCCTCCCCCCCCCCCCACGCGTGCCCTCAGCGCGCGCCGGCCGCCAACACATCCGGTCCCTGAGGGTGGCCAGGGCACCGCCTCGAGCTTTTTGTCTGGGGCCGTTCTTCGCTCTCGCAGCGCCCCTCCTCGCGTTCCCTCGTACCGTTCGGAAGGATTCGAGAGAACGCGAACCGAACTTCTGGGGCCCACCACGCGGGCAAGCTTCGTAACTATCCAGAGCCGCTGCGTCCTGGAGGGTCGGGCCCCCAAGAACAAATAACACAGGGAATGTAGATAACGAATCTGGCCCTGCAGGCCCGTTTTTCAGCCATATCCACTGCGCCTCGGCGTTTCGGTGCCCCTGCCCAGAAAGCCCAAGACGCTGCGGATCTTGACGGGAAGCCTCGCCCGCACGCCCTGCGTGCGAACTCGCGGCTCTGGAGGCGTCGTCTTTCGGCGGCGCGCGGGCGGGGTTGGCGCGTCGAGGGGCGGCGCCGGTGGCCCGTCTGCGAGGGCTTCTCAGAAGCTCTCCCTCCCGCCGTCCACCCAGACACGCGACGTCCAGTTCTCTTTTCAAGAAGCTGCTCCCCGAAGTCCCGGCCCCTTCACCCCGAGTCGTTTCTGATGGTCCCGGGGCCCAGTGAGAGCCCCGATAGGCTGGAATCCCGTCGCGATGTTTTCACGACGCGAGCATGTCTGGGTACGCAGGCTCCTCACAAGCCTCGCCGCGGAGCTTCTGTCAAGCAGTGTCGAGGCGTCCTGGCTTGCCTACAGGCCCACCAAAGAGTGGTCTAAGAACCTTTTGTGGTCCGCGTGCAACGTTTTTAGAACACCTCTGGCCGAGTTCGCCGTGCTTTCGCGCATCGGGCTCATGTTCTAAGAGCACGGCTCTTGTTGCTCGAGCATCTGCTTTTTGGGTTCAAAGAACATGTCGTGGTAGGCCTACAGGACTGCCGGGGCGGCAGGCCCCTGCTCCATCCTGGACGAAGCCCCTTGGCTTCCTGGGAGCCCGCCCCCTCGCCCTGGCCCTGGCGTGCGCGCCCACGCGCCCCGCGCGAGCGTGCCGCGCAGCAGGCGCTGCCTTGGTGGACCCCCGCCAGGCCCCGCCAGGCAGGGCTCATCTCGGCTCCGGCTCCTCCGACTCGACCGGCTTCGAGTTCAGACGGCTTCCGCTTCCGAGTCGCTTCGACTTGGGATCCCGATCTGGGCCCCGGCGTTTCCTTCCAGGGGTGCCTCCCGGGCCTGCTGACATCCGCCGATCCGGCCTCTCCCGACCTGGCCGCCGATTCTTCCGCCGAGCCGGCTCATTTCAATCGCCGACCCTTACGTTGCAACTTCGGGGGGCCTCGCCTGTCCCCAAAATTGGTGTTTTTTCTCTGGTGCCCGACGCGGGCTCGGTGCGGGCGCGACATGGATTTGGCGTGGATTCGACGCGGATTCGACACTAGATCCAACGAGTCCGACCTGGATTCGACACGGATTCGACGCGGATAGGGCCCCGACGGGACAGACGAGGTCCCCCGAGGATGCAACCCAACGACCCGGCGCATCGATTCGATCTTGGGCTCTCCCTGCCCCGCCCGGCCCCGCCTTGCTGGAGATGCCGAGGAGGCGCGTCGACGCCCCAGCGACCGAGGCCTGCACACCCGCCTGGGTTGAAGAGTGGCCTCCTCGTCGTCGTCGTCGTCGTCGTCGTCGTCGTCGTCGTCGCCGCTTCGAGCATCGCCGCTTGGGCGAGGGAGGGAGGGGAGGGAGGGAGGGAGGAGGAGGTCGTCGTCGTCGTCGCTTCGAGCGTCGCCGCCTGGGCGAGAGCGCTGCCTCGCCGAGACGGCTAAGGCGGCCGCGCGGCCGAATAAAAAAACAGCGCGGGGCGCGGCGCGCGAGGGGCGGGGCAGAGGCGAGAGCCCACTGCGCCAGCACGGGGCGCTCCCCCATCGCTCCCTCGACCTCCCACCTCCTACTTCCTCCTACTTCCTCCTACTTCCTCCTACTTCCTCCTCCTCCTCCTCCTCCTCCTCCTCCTCCTCCTCCTCCTCCTACCTCCCTCCTCCTCCTCCTCCGCCTCCTCCTCCTCCTCCTCCCTCCTCCTCCTCCTCCTCCTCCTCCTCCTCCTCCTCCTCCTCTCCTCCTCCTCCTCCTCCTCCTGCTCCTGCTCCTTCTCCTACTTCCTTCTCCTCCTCCTCCTCCTCCTCCTCCTCCTCCTCCTCCACCTCTGTCTCCTCCTCCTCCTCCTCCTCCTCCTCCTCCTCCTTCCTTCTCCTTTTCCTCCTGCTTCTCCTGCGCTCCTTCTGCTGGCACGCGGGCCCCATCCTCGGGTCGGACGAAAGGGGCGATACAGTGCTTCGGCAGCAAATCATGGGAGCCTGGTACCCTTCTGATCTTCCGTCTTTAGCGTCGACTAGCGTCGATTAGCGTCTGGGAGTCTATGGGATAGCGCCGATTTAGCGTCGACTAGCTTCTTTTTGCCGACAAGATGGTATGGGAGGCTTCCATGAGTTGCCACCGAACGCTCCGCATCCCGCCCAGGTGAAGCCAGGGCACACGCGGTCGCCGCCGCCGGGGCGCCAGGTACTCAGGGGTGGCCTGAGAGACCCCTATAGCAAGCCATCCCATCCCGTTCCCTGATTCGCTTCTCGAGGACGAAACAACGGCATAAACATATGGCGCTGCGGAGTTCTTGGATCCGCGCTGGGCCCCTCCTGGCGGCGCCTCAGGCGCCGCCCCTGGCGCGCTCCGCGCGCCAAGGTATCCGCGCGGAGCGCCAACAGTTTATGGTTATGGCGTGTCTTGCTCCTCTACAGGTGACGCCAGGGTACACGCGGTCGCCGCCGCCGGGGCGCCAGGCGCTCAGGGCTGGCCTCAGCGAACCCTGGCAAGCCATCCCATGCCCTCACGTCCCCCTCGCCTGGCCCCAAGACGCGTGCTATGCATTGGCATGCGGAGGGAAGCCTGCGAGGCGAGGGCGGCGCCACGGAAGGGGCTACGGCTTGCTGTGCATAGGGATCGGTGGGGCCGCGCCCGAGAGGTGCCCGCCGCGGGCGTCGCGTCGCCCGCGCGGGGCCTCAGCCCCCGCCAGCAGGCCGGGAGGGCGCCCGCCGCCCTCGAGGTGCCGCCGACGCGCACCCCACAATGATGGCAGCGATAACGCCGACAACGTCACCAACGATAGACAACGGCAACAACAGTAAACAACGATAACCATCACAGCGATCAAGACGACGACGATGACGATCACCGCGCCGCCCTCGAGGTGCCGCCGACGTGCACCCCGCGGCCCAGCTGGGCCTGCGTGCCCGGCGCCTGCCTCGCCGCGCGGGGCTCCCCGGCGCGGCTGGCCTCGCCCGCGGCGGCGGCCTGGGGCGCCGCCTCGCCGCCGGGCGCGTGCCCGTCGCCCCGGCAGGGCGCCAGCCGCACGGTCGTCCTCAGCGGTGGGCTCGGCCCCGCCGCGCTGCCCGGCGGCATTCGGAGAACACGAAGCGGCATCGACATGCAGATTCGCGTCGTGTCGACCGGCGGCGACCCCAGCGCGTGCGTTTCAGGTTGAGCGTTGCCCGTGGCCCAGGATCGGCCCCTCGTTGCACGATCTGGCGCTCATGGGCCGGCCGATCGTTCAAGTTTGAAGGATCCCCGCGGTGTCAGGAACCAACGCCGAGGTCGGCACGACCCGAACCTGTCGCAAATGTTCGACAGTCCGCGCGGACTTCTTTCAAAAGGGAGGAACAAATTGCCCGGACCCGATGATAGCTGGCGCTTGCCAGGCGGCTCGGGGCGTTTTCGAAACAGCCCTGCACTCGTCGATTCCTTCGATGGGTGCGTTTGCTAAACGGCTTCGCGCGTCGGGGTCATTATTTTGGGGGGGATGTTCTACCCTCTATGAGCCTTTTTTTTGGATTCAGGCAAGTTTACTTGCATGGCGTTCGCCCCCCCCCCCCCCCCTCGCCCCTCTTCAAGCGAATACTAGCGTGCAAGTGCCTTTCGATTTGCGTGATTTCCGCGCCCCCCTGAACGTGCAAGTCGTTTGCGGCTTGCTTGAGGCTCAGCCCCCCCCCCCGTCCATACAAGTAAATTTGCCAGAGTCTAAAAAAACAGGCTCTATTCTTGGGCTCGCATCCAGGACCTCCCGGCGGCGCGTCCCTGCGCGCGCCAGGGAGGGGGGGGCCGGTGCCGACCGAGGAACCCGCGCGGGCCGCCGAAGATGACCTGAAGATGCCGTGCTCCTCCTCCTCCTCCTCCTCCTCCTCCTGCTCCTGCTCCTCCCTCCTCCTCCTCCTCCTCCTCCTCCTCCTCCTCCTCCTCCTCCTCCTCCTCCTCCTCCTCCTCTGTTCCCTCCTGCAGGCATGGCCAGCGTGGGCGTGGCGCCCTTCGTGCACGCCAGCCCCTGCTCGACCCCGCAGCCCACGTACGGACGCCTCAGCACCACGTACGCGGCGGCGTCCAGGGCGCAGGCGTGCCACGGCAGGCCCAGCGCAGTGGGCGGCGAGTGGCGCTTCCGCTCCGCCTCCCCGGGGGCCGCAGCCGGGGGCGGGCGTTGCAGCCGCGCCGCCGCACCCGAGGCCCGCGGCGCTTCGGGCGAGGTGCCAGCGCTGGCGGGCACCGGCTCGTGGGAGCTCGAGCGGGAGCAGGAGGAGCTCAAGGAGCAGCTCAAGACGATGCGATCTCAGCGGCGGAGCTCAGGGGAGGAAAGGAGGGCACCCCATACCGCTAGCCTTCCCTCGTGTTCCCCTTCTGGGGGGCCTCTTGCGAAGCCCTCGACGCCAGTGCTGGATTCGCCTCGAAATTCTGGTCAGAACGCACCCCAGGAGAGGTCCGGGGAGTAGCTTTAAGTCGGGCCTGTCCCCCTACAGGGAAACCTTCGAAGAAAAACAACAAAATTACAAAAAAAAAGTCCAAAAATAGTATGGGGAATATTTGTTGCATATGTTTTGACCTTTTTGGGGCATTTGTTTGGTATTGTTTTAATTTTTTGTCGAAAATCCCCCTGCAGGGGGACACGCCCGACATAAGAGTAGCGGTAGCGGTGCCTTTCGGCTTCCCCAGGAACCGGGCGCTGCGGGGGGAGCTCGAGGTGGAACGGTTGCTGTCGGAGCTGCAGGCGCTGCAGCAGAAGGAGCAGCACGCGCTGCGGCGGGAGGGGAGGGCGGACGACCTCCTCTGGCGCGAGGAAGTGCGCCTGGAAGAGGAGAGCGCTGCCTCCTCCAGCAGGGATCAGAAGACCAGACATCAGCATGCAGATCGTATCGTGGACGTTCGGGCGGGCGTACTGGGTCCGCGCTGGCGCTCGGGGGGGGGAAGGGGGGCGGCGGAGGTGCCACCAGGGGTTCGGGCAAGGACCCCCCAGCGCCGACCCCAAAGATCTGCTCGGAGTCTCGCATCTTCGGGCTTCGCTGGGGCCTCTTGGAGGCATGCTGGCGGCCTCTTGGGGCCCCTGGGGGGCGTCTCGGGGGCCTTCGGGGTGATCTTGGGGCCATCTTGGCGTGGAGAGCTCGGAAGTCTCCTTCGCTTTTTCCCTCTTGGGCCCCCCTTCGGGCCGTCTTCGGGCCTCTTGGTCCCTTTTTTCTGGGCCGTCTTGGAACCCTCCTGGGCCTGGATGGCGATCTTGGCTGGCCATTGGGGCGTTGGGCCTTAAGTGAGTTTTCATTGTTCAGTATTGGGTGCGTTAGAGGACCTGAGCACATCCCACCTCGTGCCCAGCGGGGCGGTGGCGTGCACACGTCATGCCAGGATGAAGCATGTTGGCCAGCGTGGGCCCCAAATTGATATGTTTCTAGCCATCTGCGTTGTGCAATCTATGGGGAGCCCTATTGTGCTACATCTGCGCTGAGATCTATGCGGCGCAACCTATGTGGTCCCATTCATGCTGTGCCACCTGTGCTGCGCAACATATGTCGTGCGATCTATGCCGTGCAGGTATGGTGCAACATAGGTGCAAGATATGTGGTGCAGACTGTGTGGTCCGATCTATGTTGTGTCGTCCATGCTGTGCAATCCATGCCGTGTGATCTAGGTTGTGCAATCTCCAGCTGTCTGCGGCAAGTCCCGCCACCGTGCCAGCCTAGCATTCTGGGTGGCGACTGTTCGACGGGGCTCTGGAAGCCGTCACGCATGAATGACACCTCGTGTCTCCAGTTTTGGGGACGCCGGCATGAGGACGATGAGTATTATGAGGATGATGGGTGTGATGGCGATGATTATGGTGATTATGCTGATGGTGCCGATGATGTTGATGCTGATTGTGATGATGATGCTGATGATGATGATGAAGATGATAGTGGTGGTGGTTATGATGCTGATGATGCTGTTGCGGACGGCAATGATAACGATGACGATGATTTTGAAGACGTCGATGATTGTGATGGTGATGGTGCTGGTGGTGACGACGGCGATGATGATGCTGATGATGGTGATGATGGTGATGATGATGATACTGATGATGATGCCGATCATGAGGATGATGCTGTTCATGGCGATGCTGGTAATACTGATGCTAATGATGCTGATGAAGATGCTGCTGATGATGATGATGGTGATGATGGTGATGATTCTGACGACGACGGCGACGATGATGCTGATGATGATGATGTGGATGATGATTTGAGAGGATGATGATGATGCTCATGACGCTGCTGATACAGATGATGATGGTGATGATGGCGATGATGATGACGACGATGCTGACGATGATGTTGACGCTGCTTTTGACGACGACGATGATGGTGATGGTAATGGTGATGGTAGTGGTGATGGTGATGGTGGTGAAGATGTCTTACGCTTGCCTGGGGCTCTCTTGTTCCGTCTTGGGGCCTCTTGGCCGTATGGTGGGTGTCTTGGGGCCGTCGTGGGGCCGTTTTGGCGCCATCTTGGGCAATCGAAGGGCCTTCTAAGGCCGCCTTGAGTTTCACAGGAAGCCCTCTTGGGCCGTCTTTGGGCCGTCTTGGATGCCACTTGGGCCATCGTGGAGTCCTCTCGGGCCGTCTCGAGCTGACGGCAGCCCGGAGAGGCGAGACTGCGAAGTTCATTCAAAGCCAATGGACATGACCAGATTTTGGTTTCTTCAGACCCTGATGGAGGTCCTCTTGTAGCCATTTTGGACCCTCTTGGGCGCATGTTGGGCCGTCTTGAATCCGAGCACAGTATATGACTACCACCACCAAGATCGAGAATAATCTACGATGCAATTTGGTGCAGTTTTATTCTGGTGAAATGCCCGCAGTCCCCCTCCCGCCGCCAACGGCAACCGGGCTGCCCCCTCTCTCTCAAGGACCGAAACAGAATTCATCAAAGCACGCGCGGTGGTGGTGTAAAATTTTGGTGACCAAAAGGAGCGATTCTTATACACCACCACCAAGAAGTGCTGTTGCAACTTCAGGAACTCCCCATGCCACGGCGCCTGCGAGCAGCGCCGCGCTCCTTTTCGCCGTGGCGTCGCAGCGCCGTCTGGCATGACCCTGCCCCTAACCCTTTCTGCGGCAAATTACTGTTGCGGGCGGTGGTGGTGTATAAAAGTTGGCCTCGCAATTGAATCAATGTTCGGTTGCCTTGGGGCCATCTTGGCCCATCTTGGTGTCCTTGATTGCCTGCGCTGGCCGTCTGGGAAGCTCGGGATGCCGATCCATCGTCTCAAACGGGGCACTGGGGGGCAGCGCCCGGGGAACGCGGGAAGTGCATGATCCTCAAGGGGGGGCGTGCGGGATGAGGGGTCCAGGAGTGTGAGCAGCCACGCAGGGAGTGCACACTCCTCGAGCGGGCGCGCATGGAACGGAGGGTCCAGACGTTACAGGCCATGCGGGAAACGCGCCATCCTCGAGACGGCACGCGGGGAAGGGGGGGCCAGAGGGGAACAGAAAGTGACATAAACATAAAAACTCAGAGGTCCGCGCGGATTTTTCTCGATCGGCGCTGGGGCCCCCCCTGCGTCTCCGCACACCGCCCCCTGGCGCGCTCCGCGGCGCCAGGGAAGGGGGTCCAGCGCGATCCGAGAAATCCCGCGGGCCTCCGAATTGTTATGTTAAGCCACTTACTTGTTCCCCTGATCCTCGAGACAGCACGTGGGGAAGGGGGGGGGGGTCGCATCGGCATCAGCTGCCGCGCGGGGAGTGTGGACCATCCTCGGGCTGGCGCGCGTGCCTGGGGATCTGGGCACACTAGTCCGAGCGCGCCGACAGCGAGATCCTCTGCGTGCCGGGGTAGCGGGAGCGGGTCAATGGAGGGGCGAGGGCTGCAGCCGTCCGCGAGCAGAGGGGGGGGGGAGGAGGGAGGGGGAGGAGGAGGAGAGGAGGGAGGAGGAGTGGGAGGAGTACTGATCGGAGGGCGGATGAGACGAGGGGGAGGGAGGAGGATTAGGAGGAGTAGTGGGGGGAGGAGGAGGAGGGCCAGGGGAAACCCAGGGCACGTCAGCGATGCTACCGTGCACCCTCTCGTCCCAAGTACCCTTGCCAGTAGATTACGAACACGCAGACACACTTAGGCATCCTTCAACGCCTCAGCGTGCCAAGGGGCACGGTGGCGGGTATGTGGGGCAATCTACGTGGTGCAATCCATGCCGAGCCATCCAGATTCACACTGCCGAGCTTGAGCATTGACAACCCCACTGCTGGCGCAATCATCCCACCCGCCCGCCCGCAACTTGGTTTGCAAAACCTATGCGGCGGCGATTGCCATGACTGCTTGGCGCTGGCTGGCGCATTGCTGCGGCCGCGCTTGCGCGCGCAGGCTCGCGCGCAGAGCGGCCAGCTAGTCTGGCGCGACCGACGCGGCCGCGGTGGCGTTGACCGTCGGGCACCTCCCAACGCGTCTCACAGACCGCGCTGACGCGCGAGCACCTCAGTGCGCACAGTCGGTGATTCGGGCGGGCTCGGTTTCCTGGCGACGTCGACAACGCCACACACGATGATGAGAGTAGCGATGTTGGTGGCGACGATGACAATGACGACGGCAAGGCCAATTTATTTGACCAGGATGTTGGCCCCCTCCAGCACGCCCGCAAAAAGGCGTTCGAATGATTCCGACACTCGCGCGCGAAAGGCCCGTTTGGTCGCAATGTGAGCCGCGAGGTTTCGACTGGATGTGCGTGCTCGCCCACTCCGATGGGCCTCCCAGGGGCCCGCGAACGCGGCGACAGTTGCAAATTTCGCAACCACCCATGGAGCCTCGAGGTCTTGGCCTGGATGTGCGCACTCCCCTACCCCGCCGTGCCTCCCAGGAGCCCACGAAAGTGGCCTCATTTGCGCAGTTCGCAGCCACCCAGGGAGCAGCGCAGGAGCAGTCATGAAAAGGGGGGACGAGGGGGAGAGGGAGTGGGCACCACAATTCGAAGCGAGAACCTGACGCAGGAGGGCTGGGAACAAGTCTTCGACACACACCCCCCGAGCCAGTCCCCCCCCCCTGTTTCGACCGCCCCCCAGGATGGGGCCACCAGGTCCGCCAGGCTCACCTGCCAGCCGGCGACCGCGCTGCCGGACGGGGAGCGAGCACCCGCGTGGCAGCGGCGCCCGGCCGGGGAGGCTTCCGCGGGGCACCCCGGTGCGGCGCAGGTCGGCCAAGCGCAGACGGGGGTGGGCGGAGGGGGGAGGCTTCTTAAAACGACGCGAAGATCGGGACAACATCGGATCGGGATAACTCGAAATCTCTCAGAATCGGCGGGTTTGGAGGATGTATTGGGCGCCGCGGCCGCTCCAGAGCGTTCCGGGACGCTCTGAGAGCGCTCCGGAACGCTCTGGAGCGATTTATCCTGATCCTAGCCCTGTCTTACTTCTCAGAAACACCCTGCTTCTTAGAAGGTCCGGCCCCGTGCATTCTAGGTGTGAGGCCAGCGCCTTCTAGGAAGCAACCTCCTGAGAAGCCTTCCCCCCTCCCCTTTTTCCCCCTGCGCGCGCCGCCCAGCAGGCGTCGACGCGCCGGTGGCCGGGTTCGGCCCGCGGTACGGGCTGCGGGGTGGACCCCACGGCCTCTTCGCCCCAGCGCCGGCCGCCGGAGGACGGCCGCGACTCCCCCGACGGCGAGAGGTCGTCGGCGGCGCGCAGGGCCCAGACACCCTCGAGTTATGGAAAATTCTGGACGGGCGGTGTTCCGCAATGCTCGGCTCTGGGGGACTCTTACCAGGTCTCGGAACCGCGAAAAAGTTACTCAGGCCGAGAAGCCGTTCCCGGGGATGGAGTCGAGGCTTCTGGAGTCCCACGTTATGAACAAATCATGACGTCGCGGTGCTGGGAACAGGGGGTGTCGCGAAGCAAGACGGCACGGGGC